TGTGTGTGTGTGTGTGTGTGTGTGTGTGTGTGTGTGTGTGTGTGTGTGAATTGCACATAAGTGCATGTACCTTTGGAGGTCAGAAGAGGTATCTGATCCCCGTGGACCTGAAATCACAGGCAATTGTGAACTGCCCAAAGTGGCTTATTCTGGGAACTGAACTTAGGTCTTCTGTAAGAGCAATAAATACACTTGACTACTGAGCCATCTCTCCAATCCAGACATCGGATCTGAACCAGTATAGCTTTAATCCCAGCCTTGGGAGACCAAGGCGGGCAGATCTGTGAGTTCAATGCCAGCCTGGTCTACAAAGTGAGTTCCAGGACAGCCAGGGCAGTTGCAGAGAAGCCCTGTCTTGAAAACAACAGCAACAAAAAGCCATAAGCATTTGTTAAACCTTCTGTGGGTAAGGAATCTGAGAACATTTGCTTGAGTGGCCCCGACTCAGTATAACCTCTATGAGAACGGTCAGCATGGTCATCCAGGCCCTGCCTGGGTCCTATACTTTGGTAAATCACATGACTGTTGAGGACTCAGTTTCTTAACACAGTCGTCCTTCCATTTGACTGGTTGGCTGTCTTGGGGACTCATTGGTTCTGATGCCTTAACAGCCTCAGGAGCCACACTCAATCGCTCCACCTGCTATCCTGGCCAGATCCAGGAAAGGCAGGAAAGATGGAACTATCCAGGGTCATCTTGGAAGCTGGCTACCATAGTGGATTAAAAACAATGAGATTGTCTAGCATTTTACTCTCAACAATGGGGTTTAAACTCAGAGCTTCCCAAATGTTAGGCAAGAATCCTACCACTGAGCTAGAACCCCAGCCATAACCATCTAAGAACAATAAGAAAACATTAAAGACTTCTGTAACACTTGGCTCAACATTAAAGTGCAATAATGTAGATGTTTGATCAACTTGGATTTCTATATACATAACTTATGAACAAAACCCCAAAGTAACCCTAGCAGTAAAGTTGACACAACAAACTAGCAAATATGGATGTTTGTCATGAAGTATTCGAATTCAGGAAAAGTACAGGGAAAACCTATGGCTTCAAGGGAAAACTCCAGAAAAGACAGAACACCATGGTTTACTTAGAGTCAGAAGCCTGGCAAGTGTTTGAATCCACACCTAACTGTTGGAGGAAGGCCACTTGTTGGTTCCCGGCCACACAGCTAACTTAGACCCAAAATAATCACACAGAAACTGTATTAATTAAATCACTGCTTGTCCCATTAGCTCTAGCTTCTTATTGGCTGACTCTTACATATTAATTTAACCCATTTTTATTAATCTGTATATCACCACATGACTGTGGCTTACTGGGTAAAGTTCCCAGCATCTGTCTCCAGTGGCTCCGTGGCTTTTCTCTGACTTTGCCCTCTTTTTCCCAGCATACAGCCTAGCTGTCCCTGCCTGGTTCTGTTCTGCCTTTGCCATAGGCTCAGAGCAGTTCTTTATTCATTAACCAATAAAAGCAGCACATAGACAGAAGGACCTCCCACACCACCTAACCACACGTTCCCAGAGTGTCCGACCCTGCTCTGCAGTGTGGTGGCTGGCTGCCAGCATCTGAGGGCCCAACAATAGGTACACACAGGAACTCTTTATGATTGTTACTGTTAATTGTATGCCAGTAGGTCACCAGGGAGCCAATGGCTTTGTATTTACAACAGTTGCTCACCTCACAGTTAAAATTACTTGGTTGTTCATTCTGTTCCAATGATCTTCCCCAACTCCCCTCACAATGAAAAATGGTCCTATTTGACTTATCAGAACATACATAAAACTCTGAAAGAAAGGCAGGAAAGAATTCAACCAGGTCATGCTGCTGTTTCTGTAGGTTCACGTGAGCCTTCTTTCAGCCCCGAGTTGA